ATATATTTACTTGTGTTCGGTCATTTGGAGATGAAGTTTTCTGATATTCAGGTCTGTCATCCAGTCAGCATATTTATTCATGGACTTGACTGAGTCAATAGCCTTATTTTCAGTGCTAGAAATAAAATGTTTAATGGCATGTTCTGTGTTTGAGAATCATAGTAAATTATGTTTACTCCCTTCCTTAGTAACTGAAATTCGGAGCTCCTGGAGGAGAGCTGTGGAAGCTGAAGCTGACAGAAGTACAGACCCAATTCAAGTAGCTGCCGAACCCAGTGTGGACATGTCAGAGCCTTCACTTGTACTGCCTGACCAGAGGGAGCTGAGCATGGCTCTTTTTTTCTCAGATTTTGATAAGTCTTATCTGCCTGAAGAGAAAGTTATTTCAGATCACCTCAGTGGTATGCCTCAGAAAAATTTGGTGACAAGTCACATAGGTGAATCCCCAACAGAAGATGAGTCAGATTTGTTAAATAAGAAGGTAATGTGTAAGCAAGATTCAGAATGTACAGCCACCAAGCTTTTAGAAACTAGACAAGTAGAGACATTCTCTCCTGCTGTGGGCCGTAGAATAGATGTGACAGGTTCAAGTGAAGAGTGTATTGGTGAACCTTCCGTACGGAAAACCCTCTTAAGGGACTCTTTTCAGTTTTCCGATGGCATTGGGTCTAACAGTCTTAGTGATGAGGATTTTGGCATATTACATGAAATTCTTCCAGAAGAAGTTGGTGACCTAAGTCTCAATAGCTCTAGGGGTTCAGAGACCAATTTTAAACTGGAACCAAATAGTTTTGTGCACAGTGACATTTTTCCAGATGATGTTGGAAAAAGGCAAACTACTCCAGAATCAGACTTCAATTTACAGGCAATTCAAGGTCGTTACGAGGCTCTGAAGAAATCTCTTTCTAAAATAAAGAAAGAATCGTATGTGTCTAATCCTGAGACACTTGAACAACACAAAGTAGAATTGAGCCCTATGGCCAAGAACATGCAAGCATATGATACACATTTTTCAGACATTTGTGATTCGCTTATTGATAATACAAAGCCATTTTCACACATGTCTCTTGCTAAAAGACAACGGTCTTTATCACCACTAATTAAATTTTCTTTGGTGGAGCAAAAATTGAGAACCATGGTGCCACATAGTCTCGGAGAACTTCTACCAGACCTAAAAGGTAAGAGTTAGCTAGATCTGTGCCTATGCCATTATTGAACTGTTGTCTCAGATTTTCCTTTTCCTTCCTTACGACAAAGTCTCACTATGGTAAATTAGGCTGTCTATAAACTCACTGTGTACTCCAGGCTGGCTTCACATTTACCATATAGCCCAAGCTACTTGGCTTTTAGTCTTCTATTCTCCCACCTTTTCATAAAAGTAGTACACTGTGAATGTTGCGTGATCTTGGTTGGTAATGTGACAAAATATAATCCTTATTCTTCTAGGTTAGGAGAAGTGAACCTGCACTTTGAGTAATTTTAGAATCCCTATGATTATAATATATAAATAAAGAGACAGAAAGAGACAGAGAGACAGAGATTATAATTATAGTTCTATGAAAATCTGACCTAGTGGAAAATGTATTTTTTGTTTTGTTTTGTTGTTTTTTTTTCTTTTGGTCTTTTTTCAGACTGGGTTTCCTTGTAGCCCCAGCTGTCTTGAAACTCACTTTGTAGACCAGGCTGACCTTGAACTCAGAGATCCACCTGCCTCTGCCACCCAAGTGCTGGGACTGAAGGCATGTACCACCATACCCAGTGGAATATATGTGTTTTTTTAAATTGAGAAATACTTTTAAATATTACTGCTGTAATGTGTGGTGTCTTGACTTTACTGTGAAGTAAATTTGGGGGTAGAAGTGAGTAAAACAACTAAACAAGTTGGTAAGTATATTAGTACCAGGGCTGCCCTAACAAAGCACCACTTGGGTAGTTCTGCACAGGCTAGAAGTCCTAAGATCCAGGGGTTGGCTGATAGTGTTCCCTCTGAAGCCACTTTTGGAGGACCCTTCCTGTCTCTTTAGGCTAAGCTGGCCTCAGTCTCATAGGGATCCACCTTCCTGTGCCTCCCAAGTCCTGGGATTAAGGATGTGCACCACCATGCCCAGCCTAGTATGTTTTAATAATAATTATGATCATTTTCATATGTTTGAAAATTTTCATAATAGTTTAAAATTCTTCTTTATAGTATTTTAGGACAGATTTGGGTGTGGTGATAAAGTTTTATGACATATCATGTGATTTGCCCATGATAATCAAACACTGGTATTTTGAAAAGTATTCTAGGAAGAATGTTTTGATTACTGGAGAAATTAATTTTATCAGTTTGAGTATTACATAAAATTGAATCTTTTCATGACTGATGTGGTGGCAGATGCCTTTAATCTCATCACTGGGGAGGCAGAGGCAGGCGGATCTCTGAGATTGAGGCCAGATAACCAAGTTCCAGGCCAGGTGGAATCTGAAAAAGCCAAAAAAGGGGAACTTTTTCTAAATTAAGAAATTTGCTATTGCTGGGAATTATTTCTGTTCTTCTTTGTAATGTTTTTCTCTTTTTAAAAATCAATTTTGCAGAAGAAGAAATCTCAAATAAGAGCCTTGGAGCAAAAGAATCTTTGACTTGACAAGATGAAGCAGTATCCGGTTAATTTATTGAAGCCTTGTTACATGATTGAAGCCAATTTCATAACTTAAATAAACATTGGAAGCAAAATACTCTTTTTCCAAGATCTAAAAAGAGCTAATGCCTTTTAGCCTCTTGTAACATGTTTTTTTCTTGGTAGATCTATGAGGTTAAAATGTGAAGTATTTGGAAACAGCAAATGTCAAGTTTGGGGAAGCCATTTTGATTCCTTGAGTAATCTTGTAAGCGTTAAATAAGTTGTAGCTGTTAGGGTATTGTTCCAGTTATTAACATAAGGATGAGTGGCCTTTGATGTACTTTTGAGTGTGTAATTTAATAACCTCATCTTCCATTTCAGAGCAATAAACCATTTTTAAAAAATTATTTAATAACCACATACTTAGAAGAAGCATTTCATTACAGCAGCATTGACATATTCAATAACAATTTCCTGAGCTAAGATGCATCTCTTTCAAAATTGACTGTAAATTTTTAGATTTACAGACAATGAACCATTTTTATTGGCTCTTTATGTAACATTCTGGTACATATCAGCGAAGTAGTGCATTAGGATGTTTAGTGAAGACAACAGACTTTAAAGTTTGAAAAGCTGGAAACAGGCTTGATTTTCCAAGTATATTGATGCTGCAAAAGATGTTTGATGGAATAAAATGTGGTAAGTGAAGATGAGACAGAATGAACTTAGAGGAAAGGAAAAAGGTAGTTGACTAGACATTTAAAAAAACTGTCAAGCTATAAACCCATTCAGTGGGTTGTAGGACAGATTTATATTTAGTCTAACTTAGACTGATGCTTTAATCCTAGTTTATATTTAACAAAAATATAAATTGAAAAACTCACTAGTCTGTCTTTTGTTGGTTGGGAGTCTGGTGGGGTAGGGTGCTGTTTTGGGGAAAGCAACTAGTTTTTTTTTTTTTTTTTTTTCGTTTTTGTCTTTTTGAGACAGGGTCTCCCTGTAGTCCCAGCTGACCTGAACTCACTATGTAGACCAGGCTGGCCTTGTACTCACAGAGATCCGCCTGCCTCTGCCTCCCAAGTGCTGGGACTAAAGGCGTGCTCTACCACGCCTGGTAAAAGCAACTAGTTTTATGTTACTCTTATTTTGAAATATTCTATAAGCACTAAGGAACTTTAATGGGTTTTGAGCAATAGGGTAACATGCTCAGAACCCATTAAAGTTCCTTAGTGCTTATAGAATATTTCAAAATAACTGTGGAAACCTGAACATGATATAAGTAACTTGTAACAGTCTATATCTTGCCTTACTCTTGTCAGGGTCCCTGGCCCAGAAATATATTCCAGGGAATAATACATGGCAGTGCCTCCGTGAACATGGGCAGCCAGAGTAGCATGAAAGGTGGATGGCTGTCAGTACGCTGGGTGGAGCTCCAGCTTGTAACCATAAAAAGCTTGTTCACTAGTTCCCAAGAAAATGACAGGGAAAAAGTTGGAGGACAGAGTACTTGGAGTAGATAGTTTCATGACATGTGTGCGTACACACACACTTAAGTGTAATTTTTAAAAACTTGGAAGGACCACATAAAAGCACCTTCTAGATAGTGGAAAAGAGAGGACGAGAAATGCTCCTAAGGTGCTATGTTCTTTTTTTTTACTGAATTTTTTGTATTTCATATGTAAAATCATCTTTACACCCCCTTCCCCTTTAGCACCTCCCATAGGCCCTCCACTCCCCACTGGAGTTCATACATTCTGTCATTTGTGTTAAAGCCACTGGGGTTTAGTGCCTATCTAAACTAGAGTCCCTTCAAGAAGATCAGTTCTTCCTTACACAGCAGTAGTCAGCTGCCCATAGTTCTTTGACTAAGATTGAGGCCTGCTGTTATTTCCACAGTTTTGTGCTGGGTTCTGTCTGAGTTTGCATGGGTCTTGTGCATGATGATACCATTGCTGTAGGTTTGTATGGGAAGAGTTCTAGGCATCTGTAGGACTATTTCCATATGGTCAAGGTTCTATGTTCTTTTATTAATATAGCAATTAAGGACTATAGATCTACTGGGAAACCATTCTGTATCCTGCTTTTCAGAAAACCTAGTATTTGTAAATCCTAAGTTAATGTAGAGGGAAGAGGACTGTCATATATTAACATCTGCAGAGTGCCAGCGTCATTGCTGAATATTTAATATGGATGATTTTGTTTATTGTCATAATTTTAAGATAGCAATTATACTAGCTCACAGAGGATACTGAAACTAGGTAGGTTAGATGACTTGTCTAAGTGGGATTCAGGGACAATTAGGATCATCTGAGATGCCTTTTTTTAAAAAATGCAAGTTGCATTTTAAATATGCTTCCTGGTAATTCATAAGTACAGCAGAAAGTTTGAGAATTACTGCTAAGAGATCGAGATTCACTTTTAGCTCCAGGTACCTTTAAGAAGCAGGTACACAGGGCTGGAGAGATGGCTCAGCGGTTAAGAACACTGTTCTTGCAGAAGACTCTGGTTCAAATCTCAGTACCCACATGGCAGCTAACAACTGTATCTCCAGTTCCAGGGGATCCGACAGTCTGTTCTGTCCTCTGTGGGCATTGCATGACACGGGTGTACTTACCTACATGCAGGCACTGCACACATATACATAAAAACAAAAAGCAGGTACCTTTGTGTATACTGTAGTAGACAGTTTAGATAGGGAAGCTCAAGTTTACCAGTAACATGTAGAAGTCCATATACTGAAAGTGACAAGATCAGAGGTCTCTGGATAGTATGGGCTTATAAGTCAAATTGAGATTTACCTGTGTTTGGTTGAAAGTTTCTGACATTGTTTCCTGTGTCAGTACCCATGAGGGAAATCTCAAATCACGTCTCTAAAACTACTTTTGACTATTTGCTTTTAGCCCCTTGCTACCCAGTGTTTCCTGTAGTTCTCTTTTGTTGATAAGGAGCTGCTTTGATCCTTGCCTAAAAGTCTGTTAGTGGGCTGGGCTAGGTAGAATAGGCCTTTAATCCCAGCACTTGTGGAGGCAAGTGGAGGGAAGACATTGCAGTTCTCTGAGTTTGAGGCTAGCCTGTTTACACAGCCATTTTGGCCTCTCTCTGTTATGGTTCTTTTAAGGCTCAGAACAAATCTCATTTTTCACCTTGAAGTCTTAATCTGCCATTTCTAGATTGATAGTCCTATCCCTTTTCTGAAGTGTTTTTGCTTAATTGTTTTCATTTATTTAGGTTTATTCTTTTTTGGTGAGATAAGGTCTTGCTCTATTAGTCCAGGTTGGCCTCGAATGCACAGCTATCTGTCTGCCTCAGCCTCCTGAGTGCTGGGATCACAGATCTTTATTTTTTTTTCCCATTGCTGTATGTGATCTGTAGTTACACCAATCAATATACAATGTCCCTTACCTGTGTAGACAATATACAATGTGCCTTCTTATCTGTGTAGATGTGTGTAGGGTATGTATATCCACCTCTCCATACACACACACATCCCAAGGGCTGTGCAGATATTTAAGCATTGGAATTTTGTTTGAGTCTGATAGAATAAAAAGTGGTAAAGATGTATTTTTTTCCCTTTGGTTGGTTACATAGAATGTACCTTGTTTTGTTCACTAAGATAAAAACTGTGTCAACTGACTTTTATATCAAATTAAAATTTTAGATGCCAGTATGTTTAATTATGTTATTTCAGGGCTGAGATTAAACCTAGGGCCTGTGAGTGCTAAGCATGCACTCTACCAATGAGCTGTACCTAAAAATTCAGTTCCTAAAAATTTAAATTTTTAACGAGATCAAGCATGTAATGTTGCTGAGCATGTAAAATGTTACTAGGAAGAATCAAGAATAGTTAAAAAAACATTGGCGGGGGTGTGTGGGGATTAAGCTGAACAAAATGCTATCATTTTGAAACCTTTATTTTTCTTAGCTATAAGCAATAAAATTAGTTTTATTTAAAGATTAAATAGGAATTTTTGAAACCTATATAAAAGCAAACTGTCTTTTTCTCTAGTGTATGAAATCCTCAATGTAAAGAAAGTACAAAGTTCAGATACATAGTTGCTCTCAACATCACCTTTTTTTGTGAACTGGCAAGTCCATATCCTAAGTTTAAAATGTTTGTGAGTCCTCCATGGAGCCATTTGTAAATATGTTTTACATATTACTGTCTAGAATAAATTCAGTATTTTAGGACCAGCCTGGAATTCCCTATATTTCAAAAAGAATTATGCCTTGGACACACCATGGAATTATCACACAGGTGTAACTTGATCAGCAAAATTTACATTTGAAAGGCTCAATGACTCAGGTAAGTGTATTTTGTTACTGATATTTTAATTACCAGACCCAGGGGTTGGAGAGATGGCTCAGCAGTTAAGAGCACTGATTGCTCTTACAGAGGATCTGGGTTTGATTCCCAGCACCACATGGTGGCTAATAGCATGCACGCATATACTCAAACACATAAAAAATTACCAGATCCAGATTTACTACAGTACAGTTTTAATTTTGTTTTTACTGGTGGGTTTATTTCTATTTTTTGTGCGTGTTTTTTTTAAGGCCATATTATTTTTTAAAATATTTTTATTTATGTGTATGCGTGTCTTCCCTGCATGTAGGTAAGTGCACCCGTGTCAATGCAATGCCTGCGGAGGACAGAAAAGGCTGTTGGATACCCTGGAACTGGAGCTACGGACAGTTGTTAGCTGCCATGTCGGTGCTGGGATTCAAACCTGGGTCTTCTGCAAGAATAGCCAGCATTCTTAACCACTGAGCCATCTCTCCAGCCCTGTGCATCATGAGTGTTTTGTCTCATGTATGTACATGCACCCATGTCGTGCAAAGCCTTCAGAGGCCAGAAAAGGGTGTTGGATCCCCTGGAGTTACACTTAGTTGTTAGCCTCCTTGTGGGTGCTACAAATCAAACCTGGGTCCTCTCCAAGAGCAGGCATGTTTTTTAAAAAAAACTATAGCCCACGTTTTTTGTTTGTTTTCTTTTTGAGACAGGGTGTCCGTGTAGTCCCAGCTGACCTGAACTTACTATGTAAGGCTGGCCTTGAACTCACAGCTACCCAACCTGCCTCTGCCTCCCAAGTGCTGGGACTATGTGTGCCACCATGCCCAGCCATGTTTTTTTTTTTTTCTTATTTTATGTGAGTGTATTGCCCATATGCATGTGAGTGCACCTGTGTGGTGCAATGCCCAGGGAGGTCAGAAGAGGGTGTCGAATCCTCTGGAACTGTTAGCAACTATGTGGGTGCTGGGAATCGAACCTGTGTCCTCTGCAAGAGCAGTCAGTATGCTTAACCACTGAGCCATCTCTCCAGCCCCCCCAAATTTTAAAAAATTTTTATGTTTTGCTTGCTTATATGTAAATGCACCTGTGCATGAAGGCCAGAAGATGGCATGTTTCTCCTGAAACTAGAATTAGGACCTACCCTCATGTGGGTGCTGGGAATCAAACCCAGATCCTCTGCAAGAGCAGCCAGTGCTTTTAACCACTGAGCCATCTATCTCTTCAGCCCTTTACCTGTGCTTTTAAAATGATTTTTGTTTTTAAAGGCAGGGTCTTGCTGTGTAGCCCTCACTGGCCTGTAAGTCATTGTGATTTATCTTGCCTCTGTTTCTAAGTGCTGGGATTATAGGTATTGTGAGGCTTGCACCATACAGGTAGTAGCTTCTAGCCTTTCATGGGTAGGGAACCTCTCATCACACAGTGTTTAGTAAATCATTTATAAAGCCTTAGAAAATTATGTGGGTTGTTTTTGCGTGTATGCGTGTGTGTGTGGGTGTGTGTGTGTGTGAGACGGTCTCCCTGAAGCCTCAGCTGGCCTGGAACTGGCACTTGCTAGATAGATCAGGCTGGCCTTGAACTCACAAAGATCCACCTGCCTGTGTCCTGAGTGCTGGGCTTAAAGGTGTGTGCCACCACCTAGCCCCTAAAGCCTGAGAAAACTGTAAATCCTCATCACATTTATGCTCATTTGGAAATGAGAGGCTCAGAGTTGATGAAGTCTCTTCAATCTAAAAATAGATTTAACAGTGTAAGCTATTACTAGAACTGGAGTGGGACATTTTTAGGTCTATTCTGATTTCAGCATATAAGGCCATGCAAATTAGGAACCTCAATCATTCCCTCAAAATCAGTTATCTTAAGAAATCTAGTCAACAATAGCTGATTTCCAGATAAAAATGGTGAAGTGTTTCCCAGTGTAAATGTAGTATTACTCCTTGGGAGAAGTCTCAATTTCTGGGTCTTTGGTTTCTTCAATGTGTAAATTTAGAAGTATATAAAGGCTATTCTACACCTAAAAAGGTAGGACTTTTTAAAAGTGTTTAGTTCTTAAAATTGTTGTCTGCATGCATGTATCACATGTGTGCAAAGCCTGCTGGAACTGGAGTTTCAGATGGTTGCCTGCCTCCATCTGGGTGCTGGGAACTGAACCTGGGTCGTCTGCAAGACCAGCCAGTACTTAACCCCTGAGCCATCTCCTGCCCCAACCCCATTATCTTTTTTTAAAAATGTGTATGAGTTTTGCTCACTGTGTGCATGTGGTGCCCTCAGAGGTCAGAAGACATCAACACCGTGGAACTTGGGAGTTTGGGACAGTTGATAGTTGCCATGTGGGTGCTGGAATGAACCCAGTCTTCTGTAAGAGCACTCAAGCAAACGCTCCCAACTGCTGGGCCATTTCACCAGCCCCCCTTTTCTTTTAAAGGCAGGATCTCATTCTTATCTGGAACTCTAGCCCAGTTTGTCCCTAGCTCACAGTGATCCTCTTACCTCAGCCTCCTGAATGTTGGTGTTACAGGGATCTGTGCCTAGCAAAAGCTAGGGTTTTAGTGATTAACTTCTGTTAATGAAGGAGGTTGTGGGGTGTGAAGTTTGGGAAGGACAGAATGCCTTAACTGTCTTATAAGGTCTTGACCACTTTTCTTATGTAATAAAACATAAAAGTAACCATACCTTGTAGGTTTTGAGGACAAATTAAGATACATCATTGCATTTAATATCTGGTATTTAAAAAGGGGTCAAATAAGGCTGGGCGTGGTGGCACACGCCTTTAATCCCAACACTTGGGAGGCAGATTTCTTGTGAGTTCAAGGCCAGTTTAGTCTAGAAAGCAAGTTCCAGGCTAGCTGAGGGTACAGGGAGACCCTGTCTTGAAACCAAAAAAATAAAAGGGCTCAAATAGATGTCACATGCAGTAGAGGAATACCTGATGTATAGTACTGAGTATGTATTATGCATTCACTATTCTGGGTCCTTCCTGAATGGAGTGTGATTAATCACAAATGGAGAATAAGCAGTGAAATCAAGTGTCTGGACCAACTTCAAAGTAAAACGACTATGTCAGACACTCTGCCTCTGAGTTACATCCCCAGGCTGAAAACTTGGGGTAGTTAGGGGTCTCAAGTATCTCTGGCTGGCCTCAAACTTTGCTGAAGATGACCCTGAACCCCCAATTCTTACACCTCTCTGCAGAGTGGTGGGGTTACAGGCATATAACACTACCCCTGTTTATGTGCTGCTGGGGACTAAAACCCAGTTTTGTGCATTGCTAGGCAAGCACTCTAGCAACTGAGCTATATTCTCTTCCTAGTCAGCCTTTGACCACTGCCATCCAACATTGCTAAATTAATGGGGGTGAGGCTAGTAAAATGGAGTTTGCCAGTTAAGCAATATTCGGGTGATCAGAATCTTATTAAGGATCTTCAAATTACTTCAAAGACCATATTTTAAATTGCTAAAAGTAAATGTTTATTCATAATTGAAGCCAAGAATTTAGAAATGCATTTTAATACCTTGTTGATAAAATAGTAACATTCCACCTTTGCAATCTGGTAATACAAGATAACTGGTAAAGGCTTTAATGTGCATATCTATCATAACCAGGGAACCAGAACACACAAACCACCTACTTTAGTGTTACACCACACCAACGTTTCATAAAGGCCAACTTGAAGCTCTACCGGTAGCTGAGTAAATAGCGTCCAATGCTAAAAGACAAGGGAAGAATTGGGAGTAGTAAGCACACACTTCAAAGCTCACTGTAAAGCACACGATAGCCAAAAAACAAAAAATCGGCCTCTTGCTAAAGAGCATTTGGGAATCTTCAGCGCATGAGGAGACTGTGCTTGGGGCCGTCCACTCTCTCCAGCTTCTCAAAATGTTTCCTGGCATTTCGAATGTTGATCAGAGTAGCTGCAGACGGGATGGATGGGTCCGACATGACCACCATCACGTACGTGTTCGAGGTGAAGATATCGATGAAGGCGGCGAAGTTGGAATTCCTCACCTCCATACTCTGGAAAGACGCGGCCAACTTGCTGCAGCTGAGCTTGAACTGTTTGATGATGTTGCTGATCTTCTCGAAGCGGTGCACGTCGCGCTGCTCCTTGCACTGGTAGTGGGAAATCACCAGGAACGTAGCTCTCTCGAAAAGCAGAACCTCGTCGGCCTCGATAATCTGGGCGAAATTCCTCAGATTCATCTCCAGCTGCTGCACGTTGGGGATGAGCTGGTAGACGATGCTGGACCAGGCTTTGTAGAGCGTCTCATCCCAGATGGACGTTCGGAAACAAGCGCACTCCAGGGGGCGGGACAGGCGCCTCAGGTCTTCCTCTCGCTCTTTGAAGATCAGGTCGCGCTGGTCCTCCTGAACGAGATCCATCTTGTGCACCAGGCAGAAGATCTTGGCATCGGGGGAATTCTGGAGGATGGCTTCCAGGCAGGACTGGTAGTAGTGCATGTCCTTCTCCAGCTCCCGGCTCTCCACGTCAAACACGTAAATCAAAACCTCCACGTTGCGGAAGATGTTGTCCCGCTGGCTGGTGAAGTAATTTTCCATGAAGGTGTCCTGCCCGCCACAGTCCCAGAGGTTGAGCACCAGGTTGCCGAGGAACCGGACGTGGGAGTGCTCCACGTCGATGGTGGCGCCCAGGCGCCGGGTGTCGCGGGCGATGTAGTTTGCAAAGATGATGGACCTCATGCTGGTCTTCCCCGACCCGCTCTTCCCCATCAACAGCACCTTTTTCTTCATGGCTGTATTTGGCATCACCTGCCGGGGTCGCCAAGGACTGGGCCTGAGGGCGCGGCCTAACCGAGGATCGACGAAGCGTCGGGAGGGCGCTGCACGGGCTAGCCTTCGCTCACCGCCGGGTAGCAGGCGGCGGGGAAGCCAAGAGCGCGAGCTCGGCACCGGAAGACCGCAGCCAGGCCGCCTCCGCGCTCACAGCCGCGCCCGGAGTGAAGCTCTGCAGCCGCTCAGGACAAGCTGCAGCCGGCTACTGGGACGGGAAACTCCGTCCGTCCCCGCCACCACCCACTTCCCGCAGTGATCTCGCGAGAACGACTGCCTCCCGCCGCCACCTACTTCCGGCGATGATCTCGCGAGAACTGAGGGCTGACCCTCTACTACGGGTGGAATTCTGAGAAGCTGCTTTTTAAGATGAATCCAACTAAAGGCTGAGGGAGCGTTAAAGATAGAGGGAACGCGAAAGCCTGGGCTTTGTTCCTAGGCCAGACAGAGACTGCGGAGGGATACCTCGGGCTTGGGCGCGGATGCTGCCCTCCAGTGGTCCGACGCCCACCAACTCGGTACCGCTGGCCCCTCCCGGGGAGACCCGGGCTCGGGCAGCGGGGAGGGAAGGCCTGGCTCCCCAGCCCACTTCGGGACGGCAAAGGCAAACTAAATTAAAAAGGGACTTCGAGAAGTTGCGTTGCCCAGGGCTCCGCAGCTAGCTGGAAGCACCGCTTTCCCGGGAGACTCCAAGTTAAGTCCTTTTCTACTTCCAGAGAGGTTTCTTGTTCACATTTGATCTCCCCGTGTCAGACTTGAGAATTTGTAAATTAGAGTTCCAGAGTTGGACGGAACGGTAATATGGAACACCATGTACTATCTGCATCCTCACCTGTGAGCATTTGGGAAGTTAAACAGCTTGACCGACACTAAGTGGTGAAATGAAAATTTGAATTAATGCAGTCTGTTTGCAGTTTGCTTAGCTACAGGTCACACTGTGCCCCAAAGCCTGTGACTCTCTGCTCTTGGTCTTCATGTAGTGATGATCGCTGTCATTCAGTAGTATTCAAAATGAGTAAGTAAGGTTACCGAGATGCCGAAGCGTCCTAAATTAGAACACGTTATACTTACTGTAAAGTCCTTTTCAGATTGCATAATGTATAAATGAAGACACCCCTTTTCCATTCATTAAAAATATTTTGAATGTCTCATTCGTGGATCATTGAGTTAACATGTGTAAGAGAAGTTCGAAAGGGCCATTGCTCTTCTGTGTGAATAAAAATCTGCAGTGAAATGCCACAATGAAATGCAAAACAGTATGTAGAAAGTCTCATATTCAAACTCAGTGTCATCTCCTTGGTGATGATTTCCTCTGGAGCCTTTGAATCTACTGCAAAGGTGCTCTAAACCCCTTTCACTATCATTCTGGGGTTACTATTCCATTCTTTTGAATTGGTATGATGATTAATCTTGTCACCCTGAAAACAAACTTCTAGGCTTGTCTGTAAGGGAGTTTATGGATTAGGCTGGTTGCGGTGGAAAAACCCACCCTTTGTGTGGGCAGCACCATTTCATGGATAGTCATCTGCCTTTAATCTGGAGGCATAGGCAGGCAGAGTTCTGCGAGGTTGAGGCCAGTCTGCTTTACATAGAGTGTTCCAAGCTGGCTGGAGAAAATCCATGGCCTGGACTAACTAAGTAGGAGAAAAGGAGCTGAACAGCTTTTATCGCTTTGTTTCTTGAATGCAATGGGACCAGCTGCCTCAAGCTCCCGCCCCAAGCCTTCTTGAATTTGGAGCCAAAATAAAGCTTTCTTTCCTTCCAAAATTTGCTTTTATCAAATATTTTGTCTGATCAGTGATGAAGGACTGACAGTTGGTCACTCTTTTTCTTTGGTCTTGTTTTCCTTGTTTCTCGGTTATTAAGTCATGTGGTAGAATACATTTTCCAGTATTCTGCTGAAGTGGTAAGGCAGTCAAAATGTCAAGACATGGCATGTCTGAAAATGTCTTTGTTTTCATCTTTATTCTTGATGATGGTTGGACATAATTCTCCAGAGTCTTGGAGGCATTTTTCCATTTTTTAGAAAAGCATCTTAGTTTGATGCTTGCATTTTGTCATTGACATTTTTCTCTCTAAAAACTTGAATAAAAACTGAATAGGGCTGGGTGTTTGGCTTATTGGTAGAGAGCTTGCTTCACATGCCTGAGGCCCTTGTTCACTCCCCAGCACCTCAAATCAAAGCATTCAATTTTCCCCTCCCTCCTTTTCTCTCTATTTTTTTTTCAAGACAAGGTCTCACTAGTCCTGACTGGCCAGGAGCTTGCTGTGTAGACCAGGCTATCCTTGAACTCGCAGAGATCCACCTGCCCCTGCCTCCTGAGTGCTGGGATTAAAGGTATGTGCCACCATGTCCAGCTAATTTTCTCATGTCTATGTACTAAAAATTAATAATGGTTGTCATTGTGAAATCCCAGTTTTTATTGTGTGACACCCTGTAATGTGTCTTAATACGAAAGCCATGTCTTTTTTAATTATGGAAAATGGTCTTATTATTATTTTGTTGTTTGTTTTTGAGACAGAGTCTCCAAGTAGCCCCAGGTGGCCTGGAACTTTCTATGTACACCAGGCTGGCCTCAATCTCATGGAGATCCACATGCCTCTGCCTCCCAAGTGCTGGGATTAAAGGTGTGCACCACTATGTCTGGCTGTTCTTAAATTTTGGGGGTAGTGTTTCCCTGTTCTATTTTCTCTTACAAACACTCCAATGATATAGATATTGGATTTCATGGACTTGCCTCCAATTATTCTTAGAGGCGTTTCTTATTTTTATTTCTGTCTTTTTTTATTTTTTAAAAAGGATCTCATGTATCCCACACTGGACTCAAACCTGATATGTAGTCCTGTGTAAGAAAGAAAATCTGATAGTCCATATTCAAAAGTGCTTCAAGCTATCTTAGATCCAAGTACAGATAAACAGAAAACACTGGACTCCTGCTTGTAATCTAGCTATCCCACCACCCACCCAAACTAGAAGTTTAGTGTAGAAAATTAGTAACAGCTAAACTTGCTTATAAAGTCATGTGCCTGACAAGCTTTAAAATAAACAGATGTAAAAGGTAGAGATGAAGTCACACACAGTCTTTGTTAAGAAATAGACAAATACCCATGTCAACTTATTCAGAAAGAGGGCCCAGAGTGGAGCGAGGGAAATGGGTGGTGGGTTGGCCCTAGTTTGGGAACTACTGGAGACTGATAACTACTGGGTGAGGGAGAGTAGGCCTTACCGACGATCTCTAGATAGGCCTGCTAGACTCCAGTGGATGATTTGCACAGAAGGCCATCTGGGTACAAATGTTTGAAGAGGATGTAACACATACGATGAAATACATGAGGTCCTGTGGGAGAGGCATGAATGGGGAGGGGGTCTAAATTTGATTAAGAACTATTTTATGAAATGTACAAAAGCTCAATAAAAATGAGAAATGTAAGTGCCAAAAGCAAAGCTAAGCCTTAGATGGTGTATAAGATTTTACCCTTCTGATTACTTGGCCAATGAGGAAAGGGAGACAGGGACTTGCATTAGGGCCATAAAAACTATTCTCTGGTCAGGTGTGGTGGTGCAGGCTTTTAATCCCAGCACTTGGGTGGCAGAGGCAGGTGGATCTCTTTGAGATGGAGGCCAGCTTGGTCTCCATATCGTGTCCAGGCCAGCTGTGGCTACAGGGAGACCCTGTCTCAAAGACCAACAAAACAAAAAACTAGGGGGTGATGCGGGTTCTCCTCAGGCCAGCTATGAAGACCCTGACCTGGATCAGGTCCCCTGCCCATTGGGGGGGCAAGAGGCACGGAGTCAACACAGACACGGGGAGTCGGGTAGAAGCAAGCACTAGGCGAGGTGCTGCAGGCTTGTTTAATGCAGGAGAGGGCAGGCCTTATATTTTCCATTTCTTCGCCCCCAAGTCCCTTTAGTCAGCATATCGTTTTCTGATTGGTTGGTGACATGCAGTCTGTCAGCAGTTACTGGACTCCAGAGCAGGGTACGGAGGTGTGGGCTCTTTTTGGTGGGCTATTTGCGGACCAAGAAGTGAAGTGAATTCTTGCTGAATCCCAGGGCTCTGGGTCCGTGCCATCTTTGGAGGCCTCCTGCTACAAGGGGGCAGAATAGATGGCTCAGCAGTTAGGACCATTGGCTGCTCTTGCAGAGGACCAGATTTTGATTTCCAGCAACACATGGCAGCTAACAATCATCCATAACTCCAGTTCCAGGGGATCTGACACCCTCTTCTGACCTTGGACATTGAATGACACGGGTACACTTACATACATGTAGGCAATACACTCATACACATAAAATAATAAAATTTTTTAAAAAACCTATTCTCTTCACTCAGTGCATCTACCATTCTAGGCTGATGCCTGGCAAGGTCATTAAAAAAAAACCTGCCCCACTTTCTCTCCTCTAAATCTCCAGTACTTTTATTATGAAATAAGGGTCTACATTTCTCATACCTTGGCTGGCCTTGAACTTCTAATCCTTTTATCTCCACTCAAAGACTACTGAAATTACAATGTGTATTTACCAAACTTGTTGGTTTTTTTCTCTTGTTTTTGTTCTACTTCCTGGGGATTTTGCTCATTTTAATCTTGTAAATCTTTAAGAGTTTTAAATTTTGGCATATTTTATTTTATACAACTTGTTTCTCATTCTGTTCTCTTCTCTCTCTCTCTCTCTCTCTCTCTCTCTCTCTCTCTCTCTCTGTGTGTGTGTGTGTTAGAGTTTCTTTTATCTGACAGTTTCATTTGTATCTTGATTACATCAACCCCAACTCCCCCTTTCCACTTGGCCCTGGTACTCCCAACATCTTTTCCTTCCCCTTCATCCTTTCATGCTCTCTTTTGTTTAGACAGGGTCTCCCCAGGCTGACCTTGAATCTCACAGAGCTCTGCCTGCCTCTCTACCTCCAGAGTGCTGGGATTAAAGGCATGCCACTTCCATGCTCAGCCCTTCCCACCACCTTATTTATTTATTTATTTATTTATTTATTTATTTATTTATTTATTTATTTATT